CGTTGCCAACAAAAACTTAATGGAAAGCTTTATCCTGAAAGTATATGATCATTTTACAATTGGATTGTAAACTATTGTTTATTCTTTGTTTTACTTTCTATCGTATTCTATAAATACTGGGTTGAGGCTATGATAGTAAATCTTGGTGTTAACCATTATTTACCACCACTGAGAGACGGAGGATATTATATAAGAGAAGATAGAGTGAGTGAAGTTGGCTACGTCAAATCTATTTTTTGGATTAGCAAATGGTATATAGGTTCTATTAATTTCAGCATTCATATAAACATTTAAACAAGTCTGTGTTCGAAGCAGTTGTGTTTAGCTGAAATCACTGAACCTTCAACTGATCAGATAACTTGAAGGCAGTGCAGAGGCGGCGTTATAGCAGTGTTAAAGCCATAGCTGGTGTCCCAAGTTAGCTATATCAAGTTTGAGTTTAAACGTAAAGAATGTCATTTGAAAAGTTTGCAGAGCTTTATTTTGACAGGGATTACCCATTTTTTCCCGATCCGATTCAAAAAATTGAAAGTGTATCTGGAGAATGCGCAGAGATCAGTTATGATCTCTGCGCATTCTCCATTAAGTAAAACAGGAAAACTTAATTTATCAACCAAGTTACCAGCCGCTAGATACTTTTGTAACAATGGAACTGATTGAGCAACAAAACCTTTATCATCAGAAAGAAAATTTAATGGAGAAAAAATTTAATCGAGAAACATACATTGAAAACATGGATGGTGATCGAATTTTGGATGAAACCGGTTTGGATAATTGCCAAATTGACTTATCGTTCCAAAATAAGAAAATCAAAGCAAAGAGAAAATCTAAAGTTAATATCTTTAAAGAAAAAGAATCTAAACTAGAAGCCTTTCAGCAGTCAAACTCCCGTCCAAAACAGAAAAAAAGAAGTACAAAAGAAGTTTATCGTGAAGCGTACACTGAACATCAGAAAGAAATCTTGGAGAGGGAATTTAATCAAAAAGAGTTTATTGAAAGGAAGGATAGGGATCGAATTTCGAACGAAACCGGTCTGGATGATCGCCAAATTAAATTCTGGTTCCAGAATAGAAGAGTCAAAGAAAGGAAAGAAGGAAAGATGAAACGAAGATGAAAACTTGTGAAATTTGAAATAAAAATATTATTTTAAATAATCGTTGCATGCTCATACTTACATTCTAGTCAGATTTTTACATTATAGCAATAAATTAAATATCAGTTAAAAAATGAAATTTTTGATGAACTTATTCAATTCTTCTAGTTGAATTTGTTAATGCATTTGCAGTGACTTTGTTAATATTTCTTTATTTATTGATACGGTTTCTTTGCTCTGGGCTAATTGCTTTGGTGCTATGATTGATTGTGACTTTGTTAATATCACTACTTCTTTACTAATTGATATGGTTTCTTCATTTTAGCTATTTGCTTTGTGCTATGTTTGATTGTGCTAATTGCTTTATGTATTATTGTGCTAATTGTTTTGTTGATAAACTGCTGATTTTATACAAACTTCTCTATCAGTTTTGGATTCATATAGAAAAATGATTTATTATTTAATTTATGTTTAATTTCATTGAAACAAATATATCCGCTAAGATTTAGTACAGGTTTCATTTTCACTAATTTCACTTATGAACTTTGAATGCACTCTATCACATCATGTCAACTTTCACTTTAGATGTGGCAGAGATAACCAGATTTTAAAATAAACATTCCGAATTCTTCTTTGGTGAATCTTTGTAATTTAAATGTAAATAAAGTGTGATAATAAAATGATAAAACAAAGAAAAAAAATGTGAATAAAAAATAAAATGTAAAATAAAATAAATAAATAATAAAGTAAGCAATCAAAAACAGGTTTGCGTAAATTTTTACCAGACCGGTTAAAATTTTAGATCAAAGTTGGTTCAAGGTAATCAGTAGGTTAAGAGAAAATAATAGATTTATAATATTAAATTTCAAGGCTCTAAAAAAGAATATTCACAAATTTACAATTATGTTATATTAATTATTGTAGTTTATTAATCGTTGTAAATCAAGAAAAATGTTACATAAAATTGTAACGTTGCCAACAAAAAGTTAGCTGGAAAGCTTTGTCCTGAAAGTATATGATCATTTTCCAATTGGATTGTAAACTATTGTTTATTCTTTGTTTTACTTTCTATCGTATTCTATAAATATTGGGTTGAGGCTATGATTGTAAATTTTGGTATTAACCATTTTTTACCACCACTGAGAGACGGAGGATATTATATAAGAGAAGATAGATTGAGTGACGTTGAGCTGTGGAATATTGGCGATCTGGCTACGTCAAATCTATTTTTTGGATTAGCAAATGGTATATAGGTTTTATTAATTTCAGCATTCATATAAACATTTAAACAAGTCTGTGTTCGAAGCAGTTGTGTTTAGCTGCAATCACTGAACCTGCAACTGATTAGATAACTTGAAGGTAGTGCAGAGGCGGCGTTATAGCAGTGTTAAAGCCATAGCTGGTGTCCCAAGTTAGCTATATCAAAGTTTGAGTTTAAACGTAAAGAATGTCATTTGAAAAGTTTGCAGAGCTTTATTTTGACAGCGATTACCCTTTTTTTCCCGATCCGATTCAAAAAATTGAAAGTGTATCTGGAGAATGCGCAGGGATCAGTTACGATTACCAACCAAATTTTACTCAGCTTACTGACGTCGTGTTTCCAATGCAGTCAAGTGAAAATTATTTCATCGATTGCGAAATAATTAACAAATTTCAGCAAAAATTCATCAAAGATCGATGGAGAGAAGATGATTTGTCATTCACAAGTTACCAAGCATCCTTCGCAGATCAATTTATGTTAATAGCACAGGAAAACTCAATTTATCAACCAAGTTACCAGCCGCTAGATACTTTTGTAACAATGGAACTGATTGAGCAACAAAACCTTTATCATCAGAAAGAAAATTTAATGGAGAAAAAATTTAATCGAGAAACATACATTGAAAACATGGATGGTGATCGAATTTTGGATGAAACCGGTTTGGATAATTGCCAAATTGACTTATCGTTCCAAAATAAGAAAATCAAAGCAAAGAGAAAATCTAAAGTTAATATCTTTAAAGAAAAAGAATCTAAACTAGAAGCCTTTCAGCAGTCAAACTCCCGTCCAAAACAGAAAAAAAGAAGTACAAAAGAAGTTTATCGTGAAGCGTACACTGAACATCAGAAAGAAATCTTGGAGAGGGAATTTAATCAAAAAGAGTTTATTGAAAGGAAGGATAGGGATCGAATTTCGAACGAAACCGGTCTGGATGATCGCCAAATTAAATTCTGGTTCCAGAATAGAAGAGTCAAAGAAAGGAAAGAAGGAAAGATGAAACGAAGATGAAAACTTGTGAATTTTGAAATAAAAATATTATTTTAAACAATCGTTGCATGCTCATACTTACATTCTAGTCAAATTTTTACATTATAGCAATTAATTAAATATCAGTTAAAAAATGAAGTTTTTCTAGTTGAATTTGTTAATAAAATAAAATTTTTCAATAAAAAAATATATAGAGATTTTCTCATAAAAATCTGAAGATAGGTTAAAATAAAACATGTTTTTTAATAGATTTAAAAACATGTTAAGATTACAGCACCGGCACATTATCGGAAAAAAACACTATACAGAATAAATTAAGATAAATTTAATTTTATTACTAAAATTTGAATAGAAAACAGTTTTAAATCCTTTACTGACAGTCTCTTTATTAAGTTTATAATATTTGTCAAGTTGGAAATTGAAAACTAAATTCTCAATTCTAAATATTTATGAAAATTATTTGTTAAAATCATCAAATTAATATTATTTTTAAAACAACAGACTAATGTTGTGATCTCCCCTAAAAATATTTTTATGTGGCACTACCGTTGAACTGGTTACCGATTTTCCTTTCAAAGCAATAAAACAACACAAAATATTCACCCATTGTTAATAAATGTAAAGTTATGAAAAATTTTTCTCTTGAAATCGTTAATTCAATTATGTGACGCTTACATGTTTCTAATTTACCTAAACAAAGACCCTGACTACTTTTAGTACTCTTCTACTACCACTACAAAATTTTTAAATTAAATAAATTATTAAATATAAACACACATTTTGCAGTACGTCTTTTATTTGGAAATTTAATGTAAATTAAAAAAATGAAATTGATAAATGTATACTATAGTTTATGCATTTTAAATTAACTATATCTCTTTTTGATAAGACTCGGTGGTTTGGTTACTTTTTATTTTTCTCATTAAAGCACACGGTTTTTTTATTTGTATTTAAATATTTACATAAAACTATTTAAAAAACAAACAATATGTGATCAGCTAGAGAAGTCCAGAAATAATTTACATTAATAATTAATAACACTCATTAATTATGTGTTTATTTTAATGCCTACTTGTCAAATTACATGTTAAAATATGTTTAAATATAATTGCATGAACGCTTATTTTAATTCCTATGCACATAGCCATGCAAGCGTGTGAGTTCACTTGAATGCTTACAATTTAAAAACTCACTCACTCGCTCGGGCTTTTGAACTTCGAGTTTGAAACCATAACTTAATCTGGGGAATCGTCAGGCCGGTTTCATGCGCAATACTGTCCTTTCCTTTATTATAAAAATGTATTCGTTTTTGCTGAATTCTCACTCTAAAACGTGTAGTATTTCATTATCGTATGATACACGGTGAACGTCAGGCGTATGAACGAAATCTTTCGCATTCTTTATTTTCTTTTTATTTGCTGTTTTCATTTTCGCCATCTAACGACTTATTTTGACCTAACGACTCATTTGGCAGATTCTTCAAATCATCCGGAAAATCCTTCAAATCATTTGGAACATCCTTCATATTATCCGGAAGATCTTTCGAATTATCCAGAAGACTCTTCGAATCATCTGTAAGATCCATCAAATCATCCGGAATATCCTTCAAATCATCCAGAAAATCTTTCAAATCATTTGGAAAATCCCTTGAATCATTAGAAAGATCCTCCAAATCATCCGGAAGATCTTTTAAATCATCCGGTAGACTCTTCAAACTATCCGGAAGACCATTCGAATCATCCGGAAAATCCTTCAAATCATCCGGAAGATCTTTCAAATCATCAGTGTTATGATTTATGTTACAGTGTTTGGTCAAATTTTTCTGAGGTTGTTCTTCATTTGGAAGCTGTATTAATTCCCGAAGACAATCATACATAACAACGAACTCGTTACTCGACTGTGCTGTAGTAGGAAACACAGGCTGATCAGTTGACGTTATAATTATATAAATTTTTAGCTATTTATTACGCTACAAATACCGTGAAATTACTGAGTGTTCAATTAAGCATCGAAAATTTTCAAAAACGAAAATTATTTTCAAATTTATTATTCATAATATCACTTATCTAAGACTTGTCACACCATTAATTACACGGAAGGCTTAGTTCCACTCGTCGTAACAAAAATTTATCAACCGCTTTTGATTTTTTACTCGTCTTCTATATACAAATAAATTTTTTCAATCATAAACATCAAAAACTAAATAAATTTAAGAAACGTTTAAATGTTTCAACAAACTTTTTTCAAATCGATCAACTAAAATTCAGTCGATTTTTCTTATTTAACGTAATTTCCGATTCGTGTTTGAAGTTGCCTGCAACAACATAACAGCGCATGAATCCGTTCACATTTTTCTTCAAGCGTCAAATAGTTCTCCATGGATAGTTTTTAGCCTTCTCCTCGCTAAATGGATCCAAGTTGCATATTGTAATACCTAAAAAGATAAAAATTAAAACTTTGTAGTAATTATGTGAAGCAGTTGGTCCAGAATATAGACAATTGTTTTTTTTTTGTTTGCCAGAAACTTGTTGCGCATAAAAAATTTTCACTCTTATTCAACTTCAAAAGTTCTGAAATGTTCTTTCAATTTAGGCGGTGGTAGTCACCTCCTACCACACACAATACATTTGTATTTACACTATTTGTATTTACACACACACTACAATGTGTTTTTATTATTTGGACTTAAATAAGTGAAATATAAACAAAATATTTTAAATGCAATAAGTTATTATACTTCATAAAATAAGGACAAACTGTAAACAGAAAAATGTTAACACGGCGGATTGTTGTAAATCTCACAAACGTACGTACTTTCTCTCCAGATACCGTTGCTATTGGGTAGAATCTGTGAATAAATTTCTCAGCATGTATATCAGAGCGCCGGTTGACGATAGAAAGAAACTCAACTACTTTCGGAAATATTTCCTGGAATTTTATGAACTTTGGAATTCCTCTAACTGTCGTGTTTTCACCATATTTTTTAAAAAGTTTGGCTTTCAATTTTTGGAACATTTGTAAGTATATTTGATGATTTGACGTTTTTCAATTGTTCTTTGGTTTAACTTTTTAAATGTAAATCTGTTTCTATAAACGATCACAAATTTTATTAATAGTTATTTTTCGAATTGAGACCTCATTTAATTAGCCCAACTGGTTTCGAATCCATTCTACAAAATTGCACATAAATTTTATTATTAAAACATTTTATTCTTATAGTTGGATAATTTTTCAAATTTAAAAACTAGAATAATAAGTTGTAATAAAATACACTTTTAAATTTGGTTAAGTTCCATGTTGATTTCAAAATCGCAGACATAATTAGTTAGATCTGAGGTTGTTTTAATGTAAATAATTGTGACAGTACTTCTGTCAAAAAACAGACATACGAGCTAATTTGCCAGCTTTTACATGTGTTTATATACAAATTAAACAACAGTGCACTGTTCGATTAACTAAAAGCCTGTTAATGCATTGCATTCGACCAAAAATTATCATGTCTGGAAAGGTAAAATTATTTTTCAGAAGGTTTGGTTAGAAATTTTATAATTCACGTAATATGTTATTTGTAGTCAAATCACATCTCCATACCTGTTCAATGTTTCATTCAAATGTTATGGAGAAATTTACGATGAAGCCTGGGAGGATTTTTTGTTTGAATAGGCAGGGAGGGAATGCTGCAGTTAAAAATAGTAAAAAATGTGATGAAAGAACCTTCAAACATACTCTCGGCAAAAAATTTCAGCAATTAATTGCCATGGTTGCAGATGGTTCTCCTCATAAATTCTTCAATTTGTCGTCGCATATTTGATGTTAGTTGAATGAATGCGTTTGGACTTGTCTGGCTTTATTAATGCTGCATAAAAGATTGAAGTTGAAAAATATTTTCAGTCGATGCATAGTCACACAAACTAACTCTTTTTTATTTTATTTATTTATCTTTTTTTTATTATTCTTCAAAAATCAGGATCTGTCAGACGCAGAAACTGTAACAACATGCAAGGCAGTAGAACAAAATTAAACAAATAAGTGAGAAAATAAATACAAAAAGTGAGGAAGAAAAATGATAAAACATGAAAAATAAAATATGCTAGAATAAAATAAATAATAATAATAATAAGAACAATAATTTATCTGCAAATAAATTTGCGCATAAGAAATTTGATTTTTTCATTCATTACATGGGCAACTACTTACCAACTTGCCCAGTGAGAAAATGTGCCACAGTGACCAAAGCACTTTCACCTAACGACATTAACTTTTAATTTTGTATTAATAAATATTTGTCTAGATTAATTACTAGAATGAGTGCACTGCTGTTGGACACAGAAGGTATATCAAATCACATTTGATGAAAAATATATATGCATCGATCGATCTACTAAAAGCTTTGTAAAACGCACACATCTCCAAATTACTGTATAGAATTCATTTCATTAGATTATGTATATCCATCAGCCTAATGTATTTTTTGCTGATGCGTTCACATGTCAAACGTGTAAAGAATACTATGCATTGTTTGTAGATTGTAAAGAGTGCACTCGGAATGATAAAAACAAATGAATTTAGGCTGTTTATTATGCAAACGTTTTAAAAACTTGTATGAAATGAAAGATGCACTGAATACAATTGTGTGGACAAAATTTAAAATATACACAGGCATCATTCAAAACTTGTTTTGGCAGAACAGGGCAAAACAGTTTTTGTTTTTTAGATAGTCTGAAAATTATCAGTGTGGACATGTTTGTCAGAATAAATATCAATATTTCAGGCATACATTTGTTATTTTCTGATCAATACAATGCCGTTTTTGTAATTACTTGCCTTGCCAACACACAATTTGTCAAAAACATATCAATTTTTTGATTCTCGCATGAATGGGAGAATATTGTTTTGAAAAATGTTTACTAATAACTGAACGACGAGAATGCACTTATATGAATGACACACGGCTAAAACATTTGCATCAACATCGACAGAAACATCATTTATCACTGAATGAAGTTACAATGAATCCAGAGTATTTGTCCGGATCGTCAGTAGAGATCAAGTTGGCAGACGATACAATACTCCAAACTGCAATCAATATCGTTCCAAACCAAAACCAGAAACGGATGCACACAACCTGCACGATTTGTGGGATCGAAAATTTATCAAAAACATTGTCATCCCAGATTTAATTAAATAAAGACTGACGGCAGCCGCGAACTTGGTTCATCATTATTTTTATTATTTTTACTATAACTTTGTCAAAAAAATCCGTTTGTTACCAAATTTTAAACAGAAATTGCTACAATAACATAAACAGGTTTTGTAATTTTTGTTACTGTATCTTATCAACTTACACTTTTATTAAACCTTTTATTTTAATATCATAGACGTCTTAAATAATTTAAGACGTCTATGTTTGATATTGACGTCTTGAATTTATTAAAAATTCTATGGTATGATTTCGTTTGCGTCGTTATGGTAACTTTGTTTACTTTTTTATAATCGAGTCTAAAACTGTTTATATTAACTTAGTTCAGACTCCACGAACTGGTAATAATTTCAATAAAATAAATCATAAACTTTCGTAGATTAATGAAATAATTAAAAAAAAATAAATTAGACTACGCTTTTAGCGTTAAACTTATATGTCAAAGGTTTGAAAATTTGTCAGTTTAACAAAAAATTTTCGCTACACATAATGTGTTTGTTCTCAATTTCAGAATTCTTCGATGCAATATCATCCAAAATGCTAAAAAGTTATCTTAAAATGCTTAAATGATTTTAAAAATAGAATTAGGCTACGTTATCATCACAAAGAAATTGCAAAAGAACACATTTCAATTTTCAACTTTTGCAGATCCTGATTCTATTTATTTAGAACACACAACGCCGAACCTGTAGACATTGTACTGTAAAAAACAACCAAAATCTTATTAAATATCAATGCTGGAATTTAGACAATGTAAATTTAAAGAGCGTTTCGATGATGAATTATAAGTCTTTTGCAAAATAATCCATCATTTGTCAAAAAAACGTGAAAAACGTTTTGACAAAATCTGAAAAAAAGCTCAAAAAAATTTGACCGCAGGACCAGCAATGTAAAATGGCAAGGTCTCCACTGGACGGATAACACAAGTCGTTCGTGGTGGTGTCAGGAGATGAATGTTGACAATTCATTGAAGTGATATAGTTATTTATAAATTTATTTTGAACAAACTTTGAATAAGATTGTTATTGTGCAACTTAAAAGAATGTTTTTAAATACATTTTTTGATGGCAGAAAAATAGATATTTTGTAAATGAAAAATAGGAAATCGTTATCATCACAAAGAAATTGCAGAAGAACACATTTCAATTTTTGCAGAACCTGATTCAATTTATTTTGGTGCGGACCTGGGGAATCCGACTGTCTAATTAAAACAAAGCATTCCGATGGCCGAAGCCGGCGTTGACGCAATGTGATTTCTGCCCAGTGCTCTGAATGTCAACGGGAAGAAATTCAGCGCGGGTAAACGGCGGGAGTAACTATGACTCTATATATGTCTCTACCCTCGGCTGACCGCAGTTCAATTGGGGTGCCCCCTACCTGCCCGTGGTGAAAGTCGCTTGGCCTTCGGGTCAACAAAAGGGAGAAAACTTTTGCCGGTCTGGGGTAACTTCCCAGAACGGAATTCTGCACACATGTTTCGTAAAATAACAGTAATAAAGCTCAGGGCCACTGCCTCGAGCAAGTGCAGAATGACGCTGTCGAGGGAGCCGGTGGGTCTGTCACTGGTCTCCCGACGTGCCCCAAATGCGGGAGGTTCTTTAACACGGACGCGGGTCTTAAACAGCATGCTCGGAAAATGCATCCAGCCGATGTGGAGCCAGCCACAGAAGCTGAGAGACCCGACGTGTGTAAAGAACTGGTGGACTCCAGCTGTCCGATATGCCAACGGGTATTTTGGACCGCCGCCGGGCTAAATCAACACGTTCGTCGTATGCACCCGGAACCTCCAACAAAGGAGGACAGCACTACGAAAGGTTGTGCCTGTGGAGCCGCATGCGCGGGTGCTTGCGGGGGTGCCAAGATACGCGAACTGGAGCCCGATGCCCGCGAACAAGTTGCATGTAGTTTGTGTAGCGCCTCATTCAAGTCTACGGCTAGTCTGAACCAACACATGAGGCGCTCGCATCCGGCAGAACGGCACGCGCAGATGGCTAACGAGTTTGTCGTCAGTAAGGCTAGATGGTCGGAGGAGGAAATGTACTACATGGCAACGCTTGAAAGCAAAATGGTCAATGAAAACCAAGAGCTAGCTCGCCTTGTGCCAGCCCGCTCCCAGGAGGCTATCAAAAGTCAACGAAAACGGGAGGACTATTGGCAACTCGTTTTGTCGATAAGAAATTCGCTAACTAGTGCTCAACCAGCAAAATCCCCCGTGCCTCCTGTGGTTGATGACGAGATTATGTCCGATGAGCATACCCTCTCGTTGTTCGATACAATTAGCCCCAGGCTTATTCTCGTGGACGGAGCAATACTTTTAGGCCTGAATACAAATAGTATTAGCAATGTTCAAGGGCTCATCGACGACGAGTATGCTCGGTGGCTTTCGGCGCTTGTCGGCAGAACTGCTTCAAGCGTTGGTTCATCATCCAACCTCAAGGGTCGAGTTAAAGGTAGAAAACAACAAGGGCGCTCGAAGACAAAGAGTACTGGCTCACCAGTGAGACGGAAGGGCAATAACAAGAAAATGGCTAGAAGACAGCAGTACGCTGTGGTCCAGTCACTGTATTGCAGAAGTCGATCCAGATGCGCACAAGCTGTGCTTTCCGGTGACTGGAAATCGGAGCAGCGTGCTCTGCCGCAAAAGGATTTGCACTCCTTCTGGACAAAAACATTTGGGGTTCCGTCAATTGAGGTCCCCAACAAGCCCAACCCTTGCGGGCCAGTGCTGTGGGAGCTGGGAAAGGCCGTGGAAAGAAGTGAGGTGGAGTGGTCTGTCAAAACAGTAAAGGATGCGGCTACGTATCACCAAAGTGTCCCTAAAGACCATTCCGGCAGACGATCTTGCCTCTCATTTTAATCTATGGTTATCTCCGGTGTTCCGCCGTCATGTTTCAGATCGGGCGTCACGACGTTCCTACCCAAGATCCGTGTGCCTGAGAGTGCGAGCGACTACAGGCCAATTACATTAGGACCCCTCATTGGGAGGGTGTTCCACAGAATTATTGCCAAACGATGCAATAGTAGTTGGCCGTTATCGCCGAGGCAGAAAGCTTTTCGGCAGGGAGACGGGCTATGCGACAACATTTGGATGTTGAGGATGATTCTCAATTACCACAAAACGCATACCCGCAACTTGCGACTGGCATTCTTCGATGTATTTAAAGCGTTTGACAATGTCTCACATCATGCAATTCTGCATGCAGCCAAACGCATGGGAACGCCACCCCGTCTACTCCGATATCTGGCCTCGCTCCACACGGGCTTGCACACAAAGGCGAATCTGAAAGCCTTCAGAGACATAGAAATCCCAGTCAAGAGAGGAGTACGTCAGGGTGACCCCCTCTCGCCGTTATTGTTTAACGCAGTCATTGACTGTCTCTACTATTGTATGTCTCTACTCGACCCGGCTTATGGGGTGTCGGTTGGTGAAGCGGGCAATAAGACAAACGCCATAGCCTTCGCCGACGACATGATCATCATGGCCGAAACGGACAACGGCCTCCAACAATTGGTCAGCCGGTTAGATACGTTTTTCAAGTCAGTAGGCATGACAATTAACACACGTAAATCCGCCTCATTGGCTTTGCAAGTCTCTGGCAAAAAGAAGCAGTGGTGGATCAATCCTGACCCCTTCATTATTGTCGACGATAAACCGGTACCGCCAGTTGAGGTGAACGAGAGTTACAAATACCTCGAAACCGGGTTTACTGCGGGGAAGGTGGACCAAGCCAGGTTTTGCGACGCATGCGGAGCTATTGAGTCGCTAGGCCACATCATGCAAGTGTGCCATAATACGGCCGCCCCCAGCAATACTAGGCACGATTTGCTTGTTTCCAAATTGGGGGATAAGCTGAAGGGGATGACAGTGCAATTAGAACCAACGGTTCGAACCATACGGGGGCTACTAAGACCTGACTTGGTCGCCTGGAGTAACAATGACGCGTTTGTCATCGACGTGTCGATCGTTAGCGATATGTCTAACCTCAACGAGGAATTCGACTACAAGGTCAAGAAGTACTCGTTTGATGAGGTCAAACTCTGGGTGGCCAGTAGGACTAAAGTGCCAATAGAAAAAATTCATTTTGCCGGATGCATTTACAACTGGCGCGGGGCGGTGTCACAGAAGACGCTCCAATTGTATCAGACCCTGCAACTGGCCCCAGGCTATACGGCCTATTGGGAGCCCTGGGTGTTAAATCAGGGTTATATAATCTGGAGCGTCCATAGGAAAAGGACGCATCGCGCGAAAGGCTGGACGAGAAGACAGTTGAAGTGAAATTAAAGGTACCGAACAAGATCATCTGGAATCAGGGCTATAGAAGTCATCCGGGAGTCAGTGTCGTCAGATCACAACGATGATGACACATTCGATAAAAGCGCAGCTGCGGATGTGCTGATGGGTTACCAACAACAGCGTCACGTCAAAGGCAGACAACCAGGCCAATGGACGTTAAAAGATCGGACAACAGCTGGAATGATGAATGTGGTGTGCATGTAGGGATTGAACCCGTGTTTGAATGTCAATGGACACGTCTGAATGCGTGCGTGTATGTCAATTTGTTGATCGCATGCTTGTTTATTTGACATTCAAATTTGAACACTAACATTCATTATAGTTTGCTTTCTTTATTGTTTTTTACGATGGTTGAAATTTATACTTTTTTGAATAAAAGTTTTAAATAGCCAAATGCCTCGTCATCTAATTAGTGACGCGCATGAATGGATTAACGAGATTCCCACTGTCTAAAATTGTTTATATTAACTTAGTTCAGACTTCACGAACTGGTAATAATTTCAATAAACTAAATCATAAACTTTTAGAAAAATTGTTATTATTAAAAATAAAATGCCTAAGCGATGTGCTGTTTTTGGCTGTAGAGGGAACTACCGAGGACAGCCACATACTAAGGTTGTTCGCTTTCCAACAGAAGAAGCTGAACGTGATAGGTGGATTAAGGCAATGCCTAATGCGGGATCTAGCCTTACAGGTCGTGATTTATATGTATGTGCCTCACATTTCAACTGCAAGTGGGTTGTTTCAAGTGGAGGAAGACGTCCAATAGGCCTTCCATCAGTTTTTCGGGATATTGCAAAGTCCTGTTTAAAGCAATCTCAGTCCAAAAAACGTTTGACTTCATTGACATCCAGTGATGCACGGCAGCAGCAAAAAAATAAACGCCAAATGCAAGAAAATAACATTCTAAATTTTGATAATTTTCTTCAACAGCTTCCAAAACGTTACCCTCACTATATTATTAAGAATAATAAAGATGAGGTGTATATGAGCCTGTTAAATGACACAGCCAATAAAGTTAATCAGTTCTTGTGGTTCGAAAAATCTGAGGGATTATGACTGAACGCCTCTAAGTCAGAACCCCGTCCAGACAAGGGCGACGATACCGTTCGCGCCCGCACGTTTCCAGGCGGAGATATGCGCCGGACGACCGATTTCGGCTTCGGCGGTGGTTAAGCGCGCTTGTGTGTGTACATATAAGTATATTTTTATTTTTATAAAGTTGTTGTTACTGACCGTAAACGTAGAAAATATGAAGATTTAAATTTTGTATTAAATGTAGGTATATTTTTATTTTTATACGGTTGTTGTTACTGACCGTAAACATAAAAAATATGATGATTTCAATTTTGTATTACATATAGGTTTATTTTTATTTATATTTTTATACAGTTATTGTTACTTACCGAAAACAGAAAATATGATGATTTCAATTTTGTATTAGATATAGGTATAATTCTATTTATATTTTTATACGGTTGCTGTTACTAACCGTAAACATAAAAAATATGATGATTTCAATTTTGTATTACAAATAGGTATATTTCTATTTATATTTTTATACGGTTGCTGTTACTGACCGTAAACATAAAAAATATGATTATTTCAATTTTGTTTTACATATAGGTTTATTTTTATTTTTATTTTTATACAGTTATTGTTACGGTAAGTAACATAGAAAATATGATGATTTCAATTTTGTATTAGATATAGGTATATTTCTATTTATATTTTTATACGGTTGTTGTTACTGACCGTAAACATAGAAAATATGAAGATTTTATTTATGTATTACGCATAGGTATATTTCGATTTATATTTTTATTTTTACTTACCGTAAACATAGAAAATATAATGATTTCAATTTTGTATTACATATAGGTATATATTTTTATACGGTTGTTGTTACTGACCGTAAACATGTAAAGTATGATGATTTTAATTTTGTATTGAAATCTTTATACAATAAACAAACGAAAACAACTGCACGTTGCTATTGTTAGATCACATTCGGTTCTTTTGTTAGTTTGTTTTGCCTACACGCTTAGCTCGATGAGCCACACAAACATAACTGTTACTTGCTTTAACGAGTCTACACTCGTAGATGAGTTGAAAAGAAAGAGCGAGAGTTGTGATTGTAAATTCGTTTATTTTCACTTCATTTCTTTTCTTCTTGTGGCAATGAGTGCATAGCCTGGCCAAGATGCGTGTTCGTCCGGGGTCGGCAAAAAGTACGTTTTATTATTAGAGGTGTTATATAGGAACGCGACAGACTTGTAAACATTTCGCAGTTAAAATTGCGACTGACAAGAGTGCGTCGTGCGGCGTTCGGCCGGCGTCTAACAGCCGACTTAGAACTGGTGCAGACCTGGGGAATCCGACTGTCTAATTAAAACAAAGCATTCCAGTGCTCTGAATGTCAACCTGAAGAAATTCAAGCGAGCGCGGGTAAACCAGCGGGTGTAACTATGACTCTATGACCCACTTTATAATCAATCACGATACGATGATTCCAGTGAGAGGTGGCAACGAAAACGACTATCAAGCCATTGTCGACAATGAATACTACAACTGGTTGACAAAACACAACCTAATCAACGTTTGGCCAACCGACCAGAAAATTCCTGGCGATGTCAATAGCCTTGTTCGAACCGCACCGTCGAATCAAGATGATAGCAATCGTCGTCGTCAATCTCAAATTCAAAATGCGACCAACCAGAAGAAAAAGGCCCGAAGACAGCAGTACAAGGAAACACAGGAACTGTTTAAGAAGAATAAATCTGCCTGTGCGAAAGTGGTCTTGACAGGTGATTGGAAAACAGCTCAGTCAAAACTTCCGGCAGATGAACTGTTTAACTTCTGTTATAAAACATTTGGTAAAAAATCAGCTCCACCAAATCAATTACCCGGTCGCATTGTTCCAACAATCTTGAAGATGGAAGAGGTGCAGTGGGCTGTTAAAACGGTAAAGGACGCCACACCGGGCAACGATCAAATTACAAAATCGATGCTCAAAAATATTACAGCAGAGGATTTAGCCGCTCACTTCAACCTCTGGTGGAACTCAACACTCCTCCTTCTCAGTTCAAAACCGGGGTGGCAAGTTTCATACCGAAAACAAGGAAACCTGAATGCCCTAAAGATTACAAACCAATCACAGTAGAATCGATCATTGGTAGATCATTCCATAAAGTACTTGCAAAAAGATGCAACGACAATTGGCCTTTATCTCCACAACAAAAAGCCTTCCGGAAAAGGGACGGGTTATGTGATAACATCTGGTTGCTTCGTATAGTCGTTAAACACCATATGGAGCAATTCAAATCTTTGAAGTTAGCTTTCGTGGATGTTTCCAAAGCTTTCGATAGCGTTTCTCATCACGCTATAATCCAGGCAGCTCATAGGCTTGGAACACCACCACGCCTCCTACAGTACTTCAGAAACTTGCACTCCGGCCTGACGACGACGGCGAAGCTACCATCTTATACAACAACAACTATTCCAGTAAATAAAGGTGTTAGACAAGGTGACCCTCTATCTTCGGCCCTGTTCAACGCGGTGATCAATTGGATTATGTCTCAACTAGATATTGTGTACGATACACCGGACGTCGAAACCAACAACAAAATTAACGCAATGGCGTTCGCTGATGACTTAGTGCTGATGGCCACCACAAATACAGGTGCTCAACAACTGGTAAACCAGACAAATAACATCCTACAAACAATGGGCATGGCTATCAACATTGGAAAATCGGCTACAATGAGTTTAGATGTATCCGGTAAAAAGAAACAATGGTGGATCAACCCTGACCCAATCATCAGCATCAATAACATCCAGGTCCCGTCAATCCAAATAAGTCAAGGATATAAATACCTAGGGACAAACATCACTGCAGGAAAGCCATCCAAAGAGCCATTAAACGAGTATATCAACAGCAGACTCTTAAATCTGCAAAAAGCTCCCCTCAAGCCGCAACAGAGAATGGCTATACCTGAGCTGCGAGCATTAGTACCAATCTGGAGGGCTAATCGCATGATCAGAATGAAAATCGACGCCATCAGGAATAATGATCGAACATTGCTTAACATGATCAAAAGTGTCCTATCTTATTGCAAATCGTTGACATATTGGAAGAAACACAGTCACTACAACAACACAATCGTGGAAAGTACAAAAGACTACTACAATATTGTCACCAAAAGTCTACGCAACTCTGTTGACGAAATGGGTCAACGAGCGGTTTCCGACAACAGGAATAAGGTAGAATGGATGAGAGATGGCGCGGCTCTAACAGGAAAGGAATATCTAACGTCAATGCGCGTTAGAGCCGCTGTTCTACATAATAAATTAAGGGCAGGTAGGGGATTCGAGAAGAAAAATACAAGTTGTGACGCATGCGGCGCAGTAGAATCCCTTACCCACATCATTCAAGTCTGCCACAATTCGGCGGCCACTCGTGATACAAGACATGACTTACTCGTAATGAAATTAAGTGATAAATTAAAGGAGATTGGGTACTCTACGATCATAGAACCATCAACCATCAATCCGCACAGAAGCGGGCATCCTTCGTCCTGACATCGTCACATGAAGAAATAATGAAGCTCACATTATAGATGTGTCGATGGTAAGTAACACGGCGGATCTCAATAAAGATTATGATTATAAATACGCAAAATATTCTGGCGTCGATGTTAGAACGTGGGTGCCAAATAAAGCCGGTGTTGAACTATTGAACGTTAAAGCCAGTGGTTGCATTTACAACTGGTGTGGTGCTGTATCAAGTAAAACATTAGACCTATTTCGCACACTGCAAATTAACCGTGCATATTCAAAGTACTGGGAACCATGGGTTTTGACACAAGATTTGGCAAACACATAGAGCAAGAACCTACAGGCCCGGACGCCTAATCAAAACCATCGCCTCGGCGCGCTCCATGACGGCAATGCTGATGTACGCCAACCATCCAAGGGACGTCAACAGGTGGATAACCAGCCCTACTTGGACGTTAAACAGCGTGGTCGGCAGGAAAGTAAAAGACATCAAGGCTACAATCGACAGAAGCGATCAGAAATTCAACTCGATATATTTGTACACTCTTGTTAAGGGCACTGAGCCCATCTGTGTTATATATATGTAAAGAAACTATATTTCTTTAATTTTGATTTTGACGCGCTTTGCGCGATTGATAATACACTGTGAATTTTAGGTCTGGGGTTTTTGTTGAGAGATTAAAAGAAAACCTAAAAGTAAAGTTTAATGAAATATATTTTGTGACAAACTGATTATAATTTGTGAAATAGTAAACTTTAAATGTCGTTTCTTTGTTTTCAGGTGAGTTTTTGTTCCCAATAATGATTTTTTTTAACATTTAAAAAAATAAAATCTTTGTTTTCAGAAGCAACACATTTGTTTGTTTGAATCATAAATTATAATCGAAACTCTTATATATATATATCATAGACGTCTTAAATAAAACCTACAAAGCTGACGTTAACGGTCATCGTCAGTGCATTATTAATTTATTTAGAATTATTACTGTTTTAATATTATTAAAAATAAAAACAAATTATTTTAAAAAAAGGAACATGAAATTCTAATAAAAAATTTATGAAATAGATCTATAAGCCATAATCTTAATAAAATGTTTGTTAATAAAAATAAAGTTTTAATTTTGATCAGACTTAATTTTATTCTTAAAAATTTACTAGAACAAATTGAAAAATTCGAATATAAGTTGATAAACACTAATAAATCAGTAAAATTTATTATATATATATATATATTATTTATATATATATATACAATTATTTATAGACCCCTGCGTTTTCGACATTATTCAACTTTTAGTTGAGTTTCTCAATTTTTCTAACAAAACTTTTATCATCTTGATGAAGTTTAGTGAGGTTAAATAAAAAACTTTTAAAATTTGACATTTTTGACAAAACATTATTAATAACGTTATTACTACAGAAAAGCTCTTTTCGGCATCAACTGCCATCATCAGCGTAGTTATATAGTAATGTTCCGTCTTTGTATCTTTGTTTTCACAGCG